CTGCAAATTTGAGAAGCATGCCCCGCAAACAAAACAAAAAAGTCTAGGACAGTGATTCCCAAATTCTGGCTTTCCAGGTACTCTGGACTTTAGCTCTTGGAAGATGACTGTGGCTTCTGGGAGCTGTAGTCCAAAACATTTGGAAGATCACAGTTTGGAAACCAATGGGCTTGGGGAAGGCGTAGCAGTTTGCTTTTGCCAAAGCCTACAGGGAAGGGTGATATATCCACCCCTTCCTCTCTCCTCTGCTGAATTGTTGTTGTTGTGTGCCTTCAAGTTGTTTCTGTCTTCTGGCAACCTTGAGGAGAATCTATGACAAGGTTTTGTGTCACGATTTGTTCCGAGGGAGTTTGCCCTTGTCAGCCTCTGAGGCTGAGAGCGTGTGACTTGCCCAAGGTCACCTAGTGGGTTACCTGTCCTTAAATTGCAAATCCCAGGATCCTGTAGTTAAAATGGGATCATATTTATTTTTTATTTTATTTTATTTTATTTTATTTCAAGGATTTTTATCCTGCCTTTTTCCCACAATGGGATTCATAGTGTTCTAATTGTGAAAGAGCCCCAGGCAAGGGTGTGCTTGGAAAGAAGAACATGCCCAGGCATGGCTAGGCAGGCGCAGACACTAATACTCTGTATGTTTACTATGCATATTTCTGTCTGACTCTGCCATAATTTGACTTTGTCCCTGGAGTCAGCCTTACAGCAAGTCAATGGAGGATGCAGGATCAGGTCTTCCCAGGCTTTGCATTGCATTGTAGTTTGTTGAGGCATGACGGCTCTCCAACAGAGGAGCTTTCAGCACTGGACTATGACACTGGGTGTATCGACACTGCCGAAATAAAGCTGTTGGACACCACTTTGTCATGGCTCCATTCTATGGGATCCTGGGATGAGTAGTTTGCCATGGCACCAGAGCTCTCCAAAAGAGGAGGTTTCAGCACTGGATTATGATGCTGGGTGCATCCACACTGCCGAAATAAAGCAGTTTGACACCACATTTAATTGCAATGGTTCCATCCTATGGAATCCTGGGATGTGTAGTTTGTCATGGCACCTGAGCTCTCCAACGTAGGAAGTTTCAGCACCAGACTATGACACTAGGTGTATCCATACTGCTGAAATAAAGCAGTTTGACACCATCTTAACTGCCATGGCTCAGTGTTATCGGATCCTGGGATGTGTAGTTTGTTCTGGCACCTCTCTAGCAGAGGCAGCTAAACATGTTACAAAACTACAATTCTCAGAATCCCATCGCATCATGGCAGTTCAAGTGGTACCAAACTGGATTATTTCTGCAGTGTGGATGCAGTCTGCGCCCTTTATTCTGTAGTCTGACTCAATCTGGGGCAGTTTTTATAGGTTCAAAAACATAGCTCCAAGAGAGACAGAAAAGCCTCGTGCAAAATAGTTTTTCGTGAAATAAAGGTGCAGAAAGTGCTTTATGGAAGGTGCCCTTGGCATGTCTGTACCAGCAACCCTGCAAGGTAGGACTAGCTGCAAGTTTATATTTCTCTGCAACACAATAATACAGAAACTAGCATTTTGAATATAGTTTGTGAAGAAGACTAGGGTCCTTTCCAAAAGTTTCCTTTGCTAGTCTCTTTGCCAAGCAACCCAGGACCTGATTCCAGATTAGGCAAGGAGCTAGACCAACTTGAGTTTCTAGTTCAGGTCATTTATAAAAGAACTGAGCAGAGAGAAACTCAGAAATAATGAGATGCTTTCAAAATCAATCCTCATGTCAGCGTTAAAGCAGGGATGGGAATCCTGCAGCTCTCCGTATGTTGTTGGACTGGATATCCCAGCATCCCTAAGCAAAATTGCCAGTGGTGAGGAACGCTTGGAGATGCAGTCCAAAAATATCTGGAAGGCTACATGACTCCTCCGAAATTACGAATGTGATGGGTGTATCTACACTGCATAAATAAAGCAGTTTGACACTGTTTTAATTACCATGACTGTATCCGACAAAATCCTGGGATTTGTAGTTTGCTGAGGCACCAGAGCTCTCTGACAGACCAGGCTGAATCCCTCAGCAGATTACAAATCCCAGGATTTTCTGAAGCATAGAGCCATGGCAGCTGAAGTGGTGCCAAACGGCTTTATTCTTCTTCCCAGTTTGGTATCCAAGGTGGCTTACGAGAAAT